AATATGTGGAGACCTAAACAATAGATTTTGATAAGTTATTATTTTATCATTTTATTTAAAATATTTTAATTTATTTTAATTTATTTTATCATTTAAATTATTTTATTTTTTTAAATTACTCAAGTTTATCATAATTTTATTGTAGCTTTAGTAATGACAATGCAGCTAAGAGGTAATTTGGATTAGGAATTAAAAGGATCCATTCATTGTTTAGATTTTCAATCAGTTAATTGAGTTTAACAAATATGATATTTTATAATACTCGTATTTATCTTGTTACTTTATATGATTATTAAGATAACACTTAGCTAAAAAGATTGTTATTATTCTATGACCATTAGGTAGTTGTAATAATTGATTAGATAATTAGTAATTACTTTAAAACAATTGAATTGGGAGCAAATAAGTAATCACAAGAAGAAACTAAAGCCTCTAGCCTTTACCCATATCAAATCAACTTTTTAATTTTTGTGTATTTTATTTTCTTTCCAACTTATTTTAATTATTTTCAATCCAAATATTTTCAACCTTTGAATTTTATTAACATTCAAGGAACAATAGCAGCAGGTACTTACAATATAGTCTTTGTGAGAATTATACTCGAATGGTCTTAAATGGTTCCTTTTACTACAATTGACAAATACATTTGCCTATTGGTTGAAAATATTTTAAGAATATTAAAACTTGCAAGAGACATGTCCAATGGAACTTCTTGGCTACCTAATGTTGAAAAAAGATCTAACAATGATCTCCTTTCTTTGACTCCAACTCCAACTCCAACACCAAACTTCACTCCTTCACTCTTCAAAATATGTATGTTTTGACAATTAAAAAGTACACATCAATAAGACTCTTTGTAATATCCTCAATTTTGTATAAAAGTAAATAAATAAATTTTTATAGCAAGGGGAAAAATAGAATAATTTTTGTTCTATTTCACAAATTTAAGAATTGAATAAAAACAAAATTTATATTGCTTTTATGAAAATTGTATAGAATTCCACATTATTTAAAAACTTCCAAAGGAATAATTTTGGGAACTTAAAGTAATAAATAAATTTAAATTTACGTCTAGCAATTATTTGGTTCACAATGCATACATATAATTGTATGACATAATCAATGATACTTCAAAATTATTAATTACAACAAAATTTATCAAATTATTTTAAAACTAAAAAAAAAAATTGACATTTGAGAAATTTACAAAACTTTGTCAACTTAAAATGTAAATCTTATCAACATCACAATTCTTCAAATTATTCTTAACCCTACAAAGCAGTCCTCTTTCACAAGGTTACTGGATTATGGACCTAGAATGAACCAATCATCTTTATCTTTTCACTTTCATTACCTGAAAAATATAAGTAAGGGTGAGTATCTCCCGTCCCACTAAATCTTTTTAATTGACATAAAATTTATATAGTACAAAAAATATTGGCTAACGCATTTATAACACACATCGATTAACAATAACACTCAAAACACATAAATCAATATTAGAGCGGAGCATTCATCCAACAAATTAATCATGTTTGCAATTGTTTATAACATACATTTTCTATACTAATCTATATGTCATAACACATGTATTTAATCACATCAATTAACATGTCACAATACATGTGTCCTAATCGCACTCGTCAATGTATTACAACACATATATCATAACAACTTAATCGATATGTTACAATGCATATATTATAATCATATAAACTCTATACCACTCTATGTTCATCACAATTTTACATTCATTATACTTTCATATTCATTGCCCCTGAAATTTCTTGAGAACTTCATAGCATAAATAACTGTTGGTTAGCCGCAACAACACGAATACACACGTGTGCCGACTTAGTCCCTTTTAGCAAAGGTATAGACAAGGGTTTAGGTCAGGAAATGAGTGTGAGGTCCGTGATGTCTTTTCTTTTTATTTTTATTAATTTTTGCGTAATCGTAGAAAGACATCCACCACTCTCATTTCCTCCAGATTTCTCAATCCCCTCCATCTTCCACATCCTAGTGTATTTCTGTGATTATCTATACTTATTCCATTTCTCTTTCTTTTTCTTAGCATTTCTCATTTTGTTCTCATTCTTCTCTTTGTCCTTCTTATAGATCAACGTGTCATAATACGTGAGTCTTGATTACATAACTTAATGTATTACAATAATATATTATGAGTACACCTTTTGATGTACCACAACACTTGTATCCTAATAATATCCATCAATCTATCTGACTCACGTATTATAATCACACATCTTATAATTCCTCCATCATGCCATATCATTTACTTTTATACATAAAACTTTTTCTTCTTTTAAGAACAATACAACACTTTTCATCAATAACCTAATTTCACCCATTTCAACATACTTCAGTCATCAACAAACATTCATTTAACATAGAAGATTCTCAAACATTTTCACACCATCCAGATCAATACAATGTGCCAAAGGTCAGACACCTCTAGACTCATCCCAATTATACAATTTCAATACAGTCATCTGTCCTAAAGTTTGGTAACAACCAATATCACAATATATCTTATTGTTCCAGAAATATCAAATGTGTAAATCTTCAATTACCTCTGAATAAGGTTTACTAGTAAAATCATAATATCTCTTGAAATGGTTTTGTTCAAAGCTTTGGTTATGAATTGTATTTAGTTGGTTTTAAAAATAAGCATGGGGTATTCGTGTCAGACTTTCTATTCCTACATATATAGATTTTTAAGAAAATCTTAGTATTCTAGGGTTCCAATAGAACACGTTAAAAATAAATGAGTTGGAAGTTCCTCCAAACTATGACAGAAGTAACAAGTTATATCATCAATTTGAACACCTCGATCAATCAGCAAACCCTTACAAGGAAGTGCATTCAACAACAATTGCCAAGAAAATACCAGACACTTGAGAGGGACCTTTCCTCTCCATAGTCTTTGCAAGACATTTGCGGTACACTAATCTACACTATTAGGACCACCAAAAAGTTCAAATAGTCATGAATACGCATATTGTACTGAATAACAGCCTGAAGAATTTGCCCTCCATACCCATTTATCTTCTTGAAGTAACTTAATAGAAACTCCATCCACAAGCTTCAACAAAAGATTAAAGTTTGAGGTCTCATGTTGAAAGAGTCCTCTTCGTCAACTAACATCCCAAACCCACCTAGTGCCATCATGAAAACCATTCTCCAATACACATGATTCAGCATTCCTCGTCACTGCAAATAATCACAGAAATGCTTCACACAATTGCACCCCGTCTACCCACTTATCTCTCCAAAAAAGATTTTGTAAACTTGCACCCACACTCCTATCAAACTTCTCATCCAGCCAAGAATTCCCTTGATGAATAACCTCCATCAAATCATGTCACCACAAAGAATATCTGTTGTGGACTAATGGATGCTAAATAGAAGAAGCTAATCTTCCATACCTAGATTCTAACACCCGCACCCATAATGAACTAGAACAATTAACACCTCGCCACAACCATTTACAAAAGAAGTGCCCAGTTAAACCACTGCACATTCCTAATGCCCAACTCATCATTCTTCTGCGGTCTATATACTGTTTCCCATTTCACCCAGAAAAAAATATTCGTATTATTATATCTTTAAATACTTTATAACATAGATTTCACATAAATATTTGAAAATTATTAATATGTACTGTCTATATTGTACATATCATTTTTAAGCATTTTGTCATTGAAAATACTTTAAGAAAAAATTCCATTGAAAAAAATGCACAAGATGAGAGGGGACGTGAAACATTTTTTTAATAATTTGTAATATAATTGTGTAATCTTCTTTTGCTTTTTATATTGTTTATCATAAAATATGTGTATAACAGTTTTATCTTGTATCTTAAATATTATAATTTTATTAAATAATTTTTATCTTAAAATAAATATTTTTTATTAAACTTAATCAACTAACTTCATAATTTGTATGTTATAACTACGTGATTTTGCGTTACTCATTGTACTTTTCTAAAAATACATAAGAGTAAGAACCGGACCTATCAAGTTAAAATAATTTTTTTCTTTTTTAAGATACTGATTAATATTTTAATAAATAAATTTTCTTTCTTTAAAAATAAAATTAACAACACTTATTATTTCAAAATTAAATAAATATTTTTTTAAATTAAAATTAATTTACACAATTAATTTAAAGTAATCATTATTTAAACAGATACTGTAATGTACTAACACAGAAATAACGCTCAAACTCATTTTGATTTCAAAGATTATATTATCTTAAAAGTTTTTTTACTATTTTTTAATAAATTTTGATTGAAAATCCTCTACTTTTTTAGAAAATATTTTCATTCATATATTTTTTTTTTCCTTCAATTGTAACCGTTATCGACCGTAAAATGTTTTCCTTCAATTGCCTACTATTGAAATAGTGACAACAAAGGTTTTTTTAAGTAAAACTATTTGTATAAATACCTGGACAGACTTTAATTTCTTTTTTCACCGCAATAAAATTGACTCTCTATCTTTGAATACTTTTATAACAGATTTCACATAAATATTTGAAAATTATTAATATTTAACTATCTATATTGTGTATCATTTTTAACCATTTGGCCATTGAAAATACTGTAAGAAGAATTCCATTGCAAAAAAAATGCATAATACAATGAGAGAGGACGTGAATAATGATGAGTGACGATCACGATATAAATAGGCTTGTACCAATGATGGTAAGATAGGGTGTTTCATATGAACTTAATGATTAGTATTAATATTGAGCAAGGTCCATTAAATTATGTCCTGCAGATCAAATTTAAATAAACACATTTCCCTCTATTTCTTGTAAATAAAAAGCAAAACAAGGGCCTCGTTAGCACATCAAATGGAAGCCCTTCAACCTTTGCTATGGATCTTATCATAAAACTCTTTAGGTTCTGATTAATCTCATGCTTTCTGACCCATGTATATACCATATCAATTTAGAGAACTTCGGAGCCAGTTTAATCAAGAAGTTACTTTACATGTGCTTTTAAATGATTGCGTTCGATGTTTTTTATCGTAACCCTTTTTGATAACCACCAAACATTCAACTTGTTGATGGAACTTGGGTTTTATAAGTCTCGGAACCACTTTGAAATTTGAGCTCAGAATTAATCGTATTACTATTGGCAATCCTCTTCCAGAATCTAGCATATCCTGCATGGTTCTTCCAGCACCATACATGGGCTTGTTCTTCGCTCCCAATTGCAATGCAAAGATTGTTGAGCCACTCTCAGCATAGAGCTCAGGCCCCTGCAATATTGAATATTTTAGGTCAAAGACATATAAAACATTTACACATGATGAAATAATGAAAAAGGAGTTTGGATAATTTAAACAACGTATATTATATTGTGGAAAATAAATTGGGACACCAAAGAATTCCACTGTATAAGATATCAAAGATTTCTAAATTTTCATTTTTATATATTTCATTTATACTCACTCTTTATTTCTATTACTCTTATTTTTTTCATTACTTTCTCCTGCCCTTTTTCCAAACTTTTAGAAGCATTTATCATTTTCTTAAATTTATAAAATTCAGTTAAAGAAAAACTCATAATTAAAGTCAAAGAAAATACACTATTCGTCACATCTCTCTCTCTCTAACCATCTTACACTTCAAGAAAAGAGTGTAAGAAAATAATTATTCTTAAGGATTAATACTGAACAAACTTTATCATATGCAATTACATTAATAAATTACAAAATAACAGATTTACTTCTTTTATAATGAAAAAATAGATAGAGTTGCACATACAGTTCTTTAAAGAAAATTCAGGGAGGGACCAAACCCCACGCTTATTGCTCCTCCCTGAACTTGTCCACGAGTAGTTTAATTAATTACAACAATGAGCAAGCCTTAGATGCTAGCTATCGTCATGTTCTTATTATTAAACTTAGCTCCAATTGCATAGGTTATCACTGTGTAATTAGATGCCTCATCTTAATCATGTGAAAGATACATGTACAATTCTGCGATGAAATTGGCGAACTTACATTTGAAAATGCAAAGGGTAAGATGGAAAATTTCATCTCCATCGTAGAAGGACGAATGTGAAGACCAAAGAACCTGGATTTATTTTCTATGATTAAATTCATTGAACAATTGCACGTCAGGATCTTTGTTGTCACTCCAGTTCTATCCACCCCTTCAGCTAGTCTAAATTCGGGAATCCTTGCGATCTGCGAATTAATGAATCAATCATATATGCACAAAATGGTGACATCATGATAGTGTACATGCATATGCATAATATTGTCTACTAAACAAATTAATTACCAAATAATATATATATATATATAGCAACAGTATTTTTTTTATACAAGTGTAAGTTTAAAATTTCTTATATTTAATTTAAATATTTTATTTAATTTAAATCTAATAATTTATAATTTATTATTTTACTAATTATTAAATTTAAGTTAAATAAAAAATTTAAATTAAGTATAAAAATTTAGACTTAGTAATAATATCGTTCTCTAACATGTGAAAATTTTATAAACTTATGTGAAATTTAATTAACTCGAGTGTACTCATTTTTCACAACGCGACCAAGCAGTCAAAAGATCATGATGAAGTTATAGCAAAAAGGTAAAGTAGATAAACCAATATCTAGTCTTACACAATGATTGTGCCTACATTACAAATTTACAGCCTGCTGTCCTGGTCACTGTTCGAAGTGAAATGGTCTACACGCGCATATGCCATTTCAAATTCAATGAGTCTATTTTAATACAATATTTTAATTTCATTAATTTACTTAAAGGTTAAATTATTTATCCTATAAAGTAACTTAGATAAATTCATATTTACAAAATTATCTTGTAGAAGGCATGTGTGTCTACGTGCATATACACTACTAAAATGTTACATTTGGTAACAGTTTAGGTTTATATTTACGAAATTTAGTACTATATATATATATAATTTAAATATAATTTTTATTCAATTATAAATTAATACATTAGTAAAAATTATTAATCTTTTTAATAAATAATTTTAATTTATATTACTTTCTAGTACAGATCCATAATTTTAATATTATTAATTTAATTTTCAATAGAAACATAATATATCCATGGAGATAATATTAAACTTTAATAATACTGAAACATTAATAAATTACATTTTTTAATGATACTATTTTTCCGAGTTTAGCCCGTTATATTGTTAGTTGATTAACGTATGAAATATGTAGGATGATCATAGAATTTTGATTGAGTACGTACCTCAACGGAGACATTGGGTGGTGGAGGTTTTGTAGCAATGTAGAACACAAGCAATGCAATTCCAAAGCTCAACAAAATTCTCCAACTCATTTGCAACCAAATCCAAGCCCAGGAATCAGAATTACGATATGAAAAGTACCTCTTCCACCCTCCTTTCCCTTTCCCATAATAATAATAATCATAAAACAACCCTTCCTCTTCCTCATCATTCTCACTACCATCTTTGGTACTGCCACCGTCGTTGACGACAGTGAGACGATTCACATCGTCGTTTTCAGTGGCAGTGCCGTGACTCCCATCATAGGAGATCTTTTTGTGGTGCAAGAAGGAGTGGCTGGAGCCCCGGGAGGAGGAGTAGCGGCAGAGGGCGAAGCGGGAGCGTTCGTCTTCGTGGGTCGGGTTTAACGGGTGGGTTTCGGATCGGATCGGGGAGTGGAAAGTGGATTCGACGTCGTTTTGGATGTTGCTCCGTATGTCTGTGCTGTTGGCATGGGAGAGAGTGGAAGGGCTTTGGACGTAGTATGCACACGGGTAGGTTTGGTACATCAGAGCCTCATGATCTTCAACAACGTTGTTGTGATGCTGATGCATCATAGTGTGTGTTTTTTCTCTAACACACTGAGAAAGGGGCTTTGCAGGGATTTGGTTTTAAAACCGAATAAAGAGAATGTTTGCATTATGAGGTGGTCGCAAAGCAGAGGGCCTTTTTTGGTTTTTTCTTCTCCCTACCTAAAGCTTTGTTTAATTAAAACTGTTTTTGTTTGCCAAAAAAAAAAAAACAATAAAAAAATAAAACTGTTTTTGCATTATAACGCTGCTTTAGGTGTTCATTAAGGGACATGAATGCGAGTAAAATAATTGTTGCTTCCATTTTGAACTCTCACCCCTATGTCTAATGTTAGTCACTGAGAATTGGAACCACCAATACTCTATTAATTAGCACAAATTATCCATTGTGAAAGAAGAAAATTGTTATTTATGTTGTTGACTATTTCATTTGCTCAAATACTTACAAAAGAAGAGTGCTGCCACATTTACTAGTAACACATGCTTTATTTTTATTTATATAATATTTGTAGTTATTATATGAATACACTAAACCTATTTTTTTAACACATTCCTTTTAATATTTTTAATTATCAACTAAATTTATTAAAAATTACAAAAGTTTAAATAAGACTCATTAACTTAGAAGTAACACTCACCTACTTTTTGTGATTGTCAAAAAATTGTAATTAATTATAAATATAATAGCATTTGTTTTTTATAAATTGAAGTCTTGAACAAGAACACTTTTAGAAGTTACTCTTATTAAGTCACATGACTTCTTATATAGTAAGTATTTATTTTTATTTATAATTTTTTTCATTTAAATACTATTTTTGAACATTTATTTAAATTTTGATCATGACATGTACCGAATAAAAATCTATTTTTAGATAAATTAAAATTTAAAGTTAGTGTAATCTTCCTCAATCTGAATTTAAATTTAACTTTTAAATTTTACATTTGGATGCAAAGATCATGTGTGTTGATTATTAGTAATTTGTTTTTATAATATTTTTCTTAATTTCAAGAATTTAATATTTTTAATTTATTCTATTTATATTTAAAAATACCTGGTAATGCCCAAACAGTTTTATTGATGTATGGCAGACATTATGTACTATATTTACTCATATGTGTCACTGAGGAAAACTTATAGTATGTTTGGTTTGATATTGAGTCATGTACGGATGCTTTAACTGGTGAGCCAATTTGACTCAACTCCACCCACTATTATTGAGATAGGTTCATAAATATTACAATTTTTTCATAGCTTAATAGCTCCTCTCCTCCAACCTGCGAGTTATAGTAGGTTAATGCACCATTAATTACACTAATGTATATAGAAAAATTATTTTATTATTTAATATATTCCTTATTTTATTAATTTTATTTATCCAAAAAATCATAATTTTTTGTTATATTTTCACTTTATTTTTTTATATATTTTTTCATTTTATTTCTTTCCATTTTTATACATATTCTAGACATTAACCTGAGAAAAAGAAAATCTAATTCATCCGTTAATTACGGAAAAGCCATTGACTGTGTGTAATCGTGATCTTCATACTACGCCTCATATGAGGGCATTAATTAATTTTGCTTTACACCGAATTGCTTCTCTTTCCACATTCAAGAAATGATAGCAAAGTAAGCACGCTTTACCCATACTGTTTCCTCTTGTAATGCCTTACAAAAGCTTCAGATCTAATCTGAGAATGATAACAAATTACTATTGTTTTCATCAATTTTTATTTTAATTACTCAAAATTAACATGAACCAACAAGGTAAAAGATATATATATATATATATATATATATATATATTATATGAATGGTAATCATTTTTAGTTCTAATAACATTCTCTTTCATTGTTTCTTCTCATAGTTATTAAATGATTTTTAAGTTAAAAAGTTGTAATGTTTCGTGAGAGGAATATTAAAAGAGAAGTAGAGTTACAATTTAATCGAATGTGTCTTGCTTTTGAAGAGAGAAGAGCAATAGATTGTTATCCAAGTTGGCCATATATTTTAATGATTGTAAGATAACAATGAGAACATTGAGATAATATATATAGTCTAAATAAAAAAGTGTCTTTTGCTTTTCTACCAAGACATTCTTAATTGCACATCTCGCTACCATCATGATACATGCCAATGGAATATATCTCTTCTATCTCCTTCAAAGCTTCTTATTTATTTATTTATTTTAATATACATAGGTAAAAAATTAGATCCACGGCTAAAAGTACTGGAAAACACTCTTTTACATGCTATTTGATGTGAATCATTAACTCAAATACAATAATAAATAATATAACATAATTAAATCTCTTAAATTTAAGAATATATAAAGAGTAAAATCAAATATTGTAACAACTTAAAAATAACAAAGTAGATACAAAGTTATTCAATGTGTAAAATAAATCTTCTCCATAGTAAGTAATAAAAATCACAAGTCATTTAGACCAATAAAAATACTCTATAATCAAATAAGGGTAGGAGAGAGTTACAATTAAATATTCAAATCATGTTTATAACCATTTAATCAACTCCATCAATAAAACTTATAAAATTGAGAATAGAAAAAATAAAAGTATCTCAAAAATAGAGTTATCGTGTGAATGCTATTAATTACACTATAAATTTTATTTAACTATTTAACCATTCAAAATAAAAAATTACATATCTTAAATATATTGTCAATTTTTCATCTAAATTTAATGGTAAATAGCTTTAAAAATTTAAATTTACCAAAATTGATATTACTTTGTGCAAGAATAATTTTATTACTTCTCATTTTATAAATGTGATTGTTTTCTTATTTTAACAACCTCTTTCTCTTTTTTGAGCGGATAGAGAATATGACCTCTTTCATACAACTCTAAAGACTCATTTCTATTTTTATAAATTTAAAAAAGTGAGCCATATAAGATGAGAGCCTAATATCATATATGCGTGTGGAGGAGCTCATATGCTCACTATAGTTAATTAGTAATGTAACAATGATCCAAGGTAGGACGCAAGCATAAGATTCAGTCCCTTCCCTCTCAAATATTTTAAAGAATTATATATGTAGATATCATTTAAAATAAAAATTGATTGGACAATTAATCTTACAATTTGTTAAATACAAATGCGTGTTCTTCAGATCTGTCACTGAATATAACCACAAATTTTATGTTCAATTTCGTGCAGTGTGTTCAAATATATGAAACAAAACATACAAGGACAGAGTAAATTAACAATTTATGAATTATTTTCAAGAAGAAAACTATTCATTTAATGGTGTACAATCCTAAGATAAAGATAACTTGGATACATACATAAGAGGTTAGTTTTCAACTGCTAGCTGGGAGTAAGAACTTTAATTAAATTTACGATCTTTATGTTAATATTCTTCTTCTTTTTTTTTTTTTTTTTCTAAATGTTACCACAGAACCGCAAAAGATATTTAAAAATGCTTAAAAAGATAAAGTAATGACTAATATTTATTTAAATTAAAATAACATTGGAACAAATCATTTTATCAAAAACTTATTAGTTTACCTAGAACAAAATCAGTTTAAAAGTCTATTTATGTGTAAAAAATAATGAAAACTTAAAACCTTTTATTTACATTTGTTCTAAGAGGATTAAGTTCATTATGTAAATTTATAATAAAGTTAAAGGAAATTTAATTTATCTTTTCTAAAAAAAATAAAATAAAATAAAATTCATTTTTAAAATGAAATTAAAATTATATAAAAACTCATGATTATATATCATAATAAAATGGGAAAATAAACAAAAATATTATAAAATATAACTTTGTTACGCTGAGCTAAAATCTACCCTAATGTATTCCTTATTATAATTAAAAGCTTAAAATCATATAGTTCTTCAGACAATAAGTATGATTTCACTAACTTTAAGTATTAAAAATAATATGCAAAGTAGGTTCTTTAACCTATCTTAATTAACTCATCTGTCTTAAGTTAAATCAGATTAATCTGGCAGTGCATCTAAATTAATTAATAATAAAATTAATTTTCTTAAATTACAAGATTAATAAGATATCATTCTTAAATTATTCCTTTTAGTATAAAATTAATGAATTATAAAAATATTTTAGACAAAACAAATTCAAGATTAGCAAATTGTCAAATTTTAAATGTTTAAAATCTAAATTAAAATATATGATTAATAAGGCAATACGTCTAAATTAAAATTTTTAACATAAAATTAATTAATCATAAATTTTTTTTACAATAATTAAGATTTTCCAATTAAATTCAGCTCAAATGTCTTTAACTACATCAGAAGATTAACAAGGCATCGTGACAAAATTAACCAATTTTTCCTGCTGAAGAAATACACTAAATTATTTTCTAAATTTAACCAATTTAAAAATATGTTTTACCCCATTAGATACCAGTTTATTATATAAGAAAGTAGTATGACTCAAACAAGATACTAAACTAATTCCTAAAATTATGAGTACCAAATATTTAGTTTAAAATTAATTAGTACTTTTAATTTTAAGGATTAATTTAATGTGTAAATTTGTCACCTTAGACCTTCCAATTATTGACTACACAAACTCCTTTCTTTAATAAGATTTAATTATAAATTTTGTCTCTTTAATTTATATTATATGTCATTTTGGTTTCTAATTTTTTTAATCAATTAAATTTTAATTTATTTTAGCTAATTAAATCTTTCAACTTTTAAAAATTTACAAGTTTAGTCCTTTATCAAATGTTCTTACTTGAAACTCTTAAATTTTTATTTTGTACCCAATTTTTTTAAATTAAATCGATTTAAACATCTTCTACTCAAAACTTATTAATTGAAGAACAAATTTTGCCCAAAATAAAAAATGTCTCAGAAATTTCTCTTGTCAAATTATAATTTCATATAGCTTATAAAATTATTCAAATTTTAAGTTTTATTAAATATTATGATTTTAACTTTAAAATTATTTTATTTTCTATTTCTATTATACACCTTCCAATACTTTGGTTAGAAAAAAAAAGGATTTGAAATTAAAGAACTCAATGAGA